GCAAACGCTGATGTGATAATACAAAATATGATCGGCAAAATGATCGACATGTGATATAAGTATGTCCACCCTGCTGCGGAATTATCAGTGCCTATATAAAACAAATTTTCTGGAGCGCTAGAGGCAGTTAGAACTTCGGAATACGATATTATCCTCACGGATAAAGGTTTTGTAAAGATCTAATAAACTTTGTCGCTGTTCGATTAAATAGAGATACATTTAATTTTTCTTACAAGTATTTTTTTATTCCTTTTTTATTCCTTTTTTTTCAACTATCTTTTTATTGTATATAATTTTCTTTTAAAATAATTTCTATTATTTGTATATTTGTGTATATAATTCTACATATTTTTTTTATACATCTTTTCCGAGAGGGTTCATTTGTATATTTCGGATTCATTATAACGGGGTATCGATGTCCTTAGGTGTTATACGTATACCGCAATGATGCAATTTTCTTTTTTTCTATATTAATAAAAATATGACTTAATTTAGGTAACAAAATAAAAAAAAAAAATACAAAAAAAACAAGATACTTTAATTACACAAAATCAAAAAATCTCGGCGTATGACCAAATAATATATTTTTTCCAAGTGGGGTCATTTTTTAATACTTCACAAATTAGCGGTTAAGATTTACATTGATAAACATCCTCCAAAATTTGAAACAATACCTGTAATTTTTTTTTCATCAATAAGAAATCTAATGCATGACATGCATGGGGCTTTTTTTAAATATAAATAGCACCTATATAGACTAACCATCTCAAATCGCTGTCTCCTTCTACTCAATAAAACCACTACTCTTTTTTTTCATAATACTTATTGATCATGAATAATAGAAATGGAAACAGTTTAAAATATGTTCACAAAAAAAAATATAATACACAATACAACCATAGTAATGAGAGAACAACGTTACATAACTCTAACTCGAACCGTCAAAATGCTCCATCTGTTTGCTTAGAAAATAAATGTAATTATGGAAATTCTTATCGGAATAGACATCGGAAGGAAACCAGTCAGGATGAATCCGGTGATCAAGATGGTGAAGAGGATTTGTTTGAGGGTGAAGAAGAAAATTGTCCAAAATGGTTCGATTGGGTCAGTCATTCTTGTACATGTCGCCCATGCGAGTAAGTACAAGGAAAATTTTATTAGAAATTCTTTTATTTTTAATCTCTTTCTAAATAAATTATTTTTTATTCTTTTAAAGACAAAATTTAGTATCTTACGCTAACTCTTTGAATAATGTATGTGAGATCATAACCGATTGGATGACTAAAGTTCTAGATTATCATAATAGTACCAATAGTACCTCTACCAAGACATACCATTCATTTTCTAAATTTTTCGAAGCTGCCGAGAAAGATAAAGCCGTATTAAAATTGTTAGAAGAAGCATGTAAACAAAATGGGGGTGTAACGATTCAAGGATTATATTTGCTTGTAAATTATAAACGTGAAAGGAACTCTAAAGCGCATACGAAAGTGGGGAATCTTAACGATGCAAAAATGAGTATTAAAAAGGCACATATACTCCAACCTATTAGCAGGCCACTGGAAAAAACTTTTGAAAAAATTTTCAAGTCTGTTTACTAAGAGTGGATAGTTTTTTAGAATTAACAATTTTATAATTTACAAACATTATTAGATATTTCAAAATTTATAAAAATCAACAATTCAATACGGATTTTATATATATATACATATTTAAATTTTCCTTAACATTCTTGAAGAAAAAATTTCGGTGGGAATGGATTTTGTATATATTCACCTTTTATATATATCATCTTATATTCAATTCTACTTGATCTCAATAATTATATTAATTATTGATATAAATATAATTTGATACATTTTTCTTTTTATTTTAAAATTTGATACTATTCTCTATAGAAAAATCAAACTTTTCTATAAAAGTATTTATATTTAATTTTTTTAATTAGAACATTTTTTTTCTAATTTCATCCCAATTGGTAGAAAAATATTTTTCGTATTTATTTCTTTAATTATTAAAAAGATTTAAATTCTTAATTTCATCCCAATTACACATTTTTAGAAAAAAATTTTTCACCCCTTATTTTTATTATTTAATTCTTTTCATTATTAAAATGATTTAAATTTCCATTTTTTAGAAAATTTTTTTAAAAATTTTCGTCTCTTATTTTTGTTAAAAGTCTTTATATTTAATTCTTTTAATCCTTATTTTTTTTATGAAAATATTATTACTTATGTAAATAGATAAAAATCTTATCTAGTTATTGTTATATTAAGTATAGTTAATAATTAAGAATTTTTTTTCTACACATCCGCATAAAATGCAGGATGCATATGTATGTTATATTATGATTTTAATTTTGAAAATTTTATGCATTAAAGTAAAAATTTTAAGTAAAATAAAATAAAATAGAACAATAAAAACAAAATCCTTCTTTTATGATTTCTAAATACATCAGTGACTAAAAGAAGCCGTTATTATACTTGGGATTATACATGAAGTCGAAATAAAACCAAAAGTCGATGGTCGAAATCGACGTTATTTCACATGATTTCATGATTTATATAAAAAAAGTTAAAAATAAAATATGCACAATCTCAGTTAATATCTCATTGTTTCTGATGAAAAACTACCATTTGACTCGGCATATCTAGGCGAATCCAATGAGCTAAAGATCATTGATATTGAATACGCTGTTCTCGAGATAATCGCGATTGAATTTTGAAATCCAGGCCCTTTATCTTTTTTAAGTAAAATTTATTGAAATATAATTTTGGCTGAATATTCAATAATGATTATCTCGAGAACCTCGAGAACAGCGTATTCAATATCAATGATCTTTAGCACATTGGATTCGGCTATTATGCCAAGTCAAATGGTAGTTGTTTCATGAATATTGACAGAGATCATGTTTTATTTTTTAATTTTTTATGCTATAAAAAAATCACGTGACGAAAATATTTCACATTTCGATCAATATCTGAAGCTTGCCAAAGCTATTTTTTATTGTCCTAAACTAGCTTTACCAATTTCAGGTCAAATTTTACCAATTTCGTCATAGGTTTTATCATCTAACTTGATTTTTCAAATATTAGTTTTACCAAGTTTCAGCATTTCGGGTAGTATCATTAATCAATATACCGTAGAGCGTTGACTAAACCACTCCACCCCCTATGCAAAATACCCTTCTAAGGTTTTGGGCTGAAATTTTGTAAAAGACCCAGGTGGTTAAATAGGGGGGGTTTTTTTTTAGTCGGAAAATAGTCATAAAATTAAATAAATCATGTGATTAATATACTGTTACAATATTTATTTATCAAATACACATTTTATCAATTCAA